AACTAGATATATAGGTTCCAGTACTTAGTATCTGCAGCTGTTATACAGATAAAATGTCATACTATAAACAGTCAGCTGAGAAAATGTTTGTGGAGATTCTCAATCATCCAGGTCAAGATTGTCCCAAAGGTGATTTTGCAAACAGTAACTGGACTTTCTGGGTTTTTTTACCTTTGAAACTGTTTCACTTCTCATCCAAGAAGCTTCTCAGTTCCATTTCCTTCCAAACATTGTTTCAAAGGGAGAGAAAAAAACAAGAAAGTCCAGTTGCCTTTTGGAAAATCACTTCTGGGACAGTCAGTTGGGAGGGCTAGCAATGATTGTGCTGTCTTATACAACATTTAAACATGCAAAACTGTTTTGCATAGGAAACTATTAATGATGATGAGAATACCACCACAGTGCTTGCAGCACACTGTTTTGGATTTGAAGAAAACTTACAAGTAACACATGGATTCTCATTCTTCCTTTTTTACATTTTCTTGTGAAACAATCATGATAAAGGTATCCTGTTGCTTTATTATTCACAATTTCCCATACATTGTTTTGAAATTTTCTATTATAAATATTAAAATAATGTTTCTTTCTGTACATACCTAACTACAATATATAAACTATGTAATACTCATTATTGAATTTAATTTTAGGCGGAAGAAGCTAGAACATCTTCAGATAATGATTCTTTGCTTACTCTTGTCCACAATTATTGACCATTGGGTGGGGAATAGTTATTTTTCTTGCTGCAGTAGTTCACATGTTTCATAGAGTGTTATTCTGACTACATACACTTCCCAACAGAACGGAAGGACCTTTTGAATAAGGACTATTCAGGACTAGTAGAGGATTTCCTCTTGTTGTTGATAGTTTCCTTTAAAACGATGATGCAATAACGCCTAAAGCAAATTCAAAGGGAGAATCTACAGACACTAAGGCATCAATATGAGGCGAGGGACATTGTTTAATTTAACTGCTGTTTTCCTTGCAAAGTAATACAGGGAACAGCTATTTTTAAACTGTTAAAGAATGGTTGGTACATTTGCAATTTCCCTCAGCCTTGCTGTATATGTCCTATGTTCATGAACTATTGCACTATAGATATAGAGCATCTGCCTTGGATAATAAATACATATTTGCATTTATTATACAGGACTTTTAAAATGCAAATTGTATCTGTGGGATGCATATTAGATAATTAATTGAAATAATGTAGAGGAAAAATGTCACCCCTTTCTTCCACAGTTGCATTTACTTTCAATACAGATCTTGTTCAGTTGTGGCTTCTATAGGAAGCAGAGCCTCTTCAGTTAACAGTCCCTTTCCCTACTTTGTCGAAGGGTTTCTTGAAGGACATACATCAGGTATTACGCTTCAGCAAAAACGTGATACTACAAAAGTAGTTTTTAGCTTATTGTTATTAGTAGTAGGTAAACTAAGTCTCTCTTTCTGTTGTTGGATATGTTTTCTATAATCTTCATGCTTTCAGTTCACCCATGGTAAAGGGAGATATTTTTAAAAAAACCTAAAGAACAGGAGCAGAAAATTATTGCTAGTGCCAAGTTTGTAAGAAGTAACAGAAAAGAGCTAACAAAATGCACAACTTTCTGTCACTAAATTCATGGTTCTACCTACTATTTATCATAGGTGAATTTCTTAATCCTTTAAACTTTCTGAAATGTAAGTAGTGACTTAAAAAAAAATGCTGCAGGTACTTTAACAACCATAATTGGGACTGGCAACTGAGTCATTAGGCAAAGTGATCGCTAAGTAAAATGGCAACTATGTTTATAGCCTTTCTTCAGCTTTGCTTTGCTTTACAGACCTGCGAAGAGCATTATTTTACCCAAACAAAAACTAATCTTCATTAATACCCATGTTTCACAGTTCTTGTCTTCAATCGCTTACATCAGGGGTGTCAAACTCAAGGCCTGTGGACCAGATTCAGCCCACAGGGTGCTTAGATCTGGCCTGCAGGGCCACCCTGGAGACAGCGAAGGATCAGCCTGTGGTGCCTCTGCCAGAAAAATCGGAGCTTGGGAGGGCCACAGGTGGCCCTTTTTAGCTCCATTTTTACTGGCAGAGCGCTCAGGCCATCATAGGTGAAGCTGACACAAGTGACATAGAGCTGGCCACGCCCCTCCTGCCCCCCCCCCAGATCAAACACAACCCTGATACAGCCCTCAATGAAATTGAGTTTGACACCCCTGACTTACATCTTCTGTCCATTCATTTGTCCTCAGGAGCATCGTTTGTATCAGAAATGTAGGAAACACAAATGTTGGGATAGGAAAATGTCTTTAATTTATATCTTACATAACAAAAATAACACTAGTAACTTGCCACAATGCTACCCGTGTGCATAGTACCATTTTACTGTGTCCTACTGTCTGAATTCAATAGTAGCTTTTTTCTCTTAAAGCAAGGATGGAAAGAATCAAATTTTTTAGATGCTCCGCTTCTACATAAAGCAATTTTCTTTACAAGATTTACTATTATAAAATACAATAAGGGAAATCTCACCAAATGGGTTGTTTTCATTTAGAATCCAATTTCTCCACCAGGGTCCCAAGGTTAATGCTTTCTAAGTCTTCTTAATTCACCCTATGTGAACTTGTGAGGAAGCTATTCACTTAATTGATAAAGGAAGAATGTCCAGATGTTTAGGATGTGAATCTTTCATCGTACCATTATAGCGCCAGCCTTTTTGCAGAGCCAGGCCACAGGAATACCTTAATTGATGAGAAGTAGTGATGGCTGATTCAAACACGTAAACAGGATTGCTTTGAGGGGAAGTTGGAAGGTTATAACTTTTATTTCGTTTAAAAAGCTATTTTAAAGCCTACATGGTATCTTTCATGTATTCCCTGCCTCAAAATGATGGAATACCATGCCACCAGTTTTCAGCACATAACAGTCCTCTCCCACAGAATTGTTGTTGTGGTACTAGTATATCACCTTGAGCTCCTGTACAAAAGGCAGAATATAAACTTAAATATAAAATATAGTGGCTTAGAATCTTCAGGTACTATTGGGGACCTAATACTGGAACCATGAATTGTCCGGGAATCTTTTTTTATTACACCAGTGACTGCAGTAACTAGATTGAGAAGACAGGCAGATGGTAGATGGGTGGATACAGTAGATAGATAGCTAGATAGATGATAGCTAGATAGATATAGATAGATGGATGGATGGGTGGATAGATAGAGATGATATAGATAATAGTTTCAATACAAGATTATCCTCGTTCATTGCAAGTGTCCAAACATAATCTATGTCTGTTGTTTTTTTCTTTAATTATAGACCTTGCTTATCAACTTAACAACTCCCTTGTGCAGTTACAATAATATTGAAAAAATAACTTTGTGACCAAGGTGCACATTTCCAACCTTCAGTGTTTCTCTTTGTCTCTGTCTCTCTCTGGGTGTGTCATGCCCCTGGTGGAGTTTGACTGAGCAGTCAGAGGAGGACCCAGGCCCATCCCTTATCCATCCTAGGGCACGCAGGGAGGAGAGGATCTGGGTAAAACATGGTCTACTCAGGAGGAGAGGGCCATGATCCTCTTCATGGGTTGCAGGTGTGAGATCTGCATAAGAGTTTGGACCTGCATGCTAACAGACACTGGAGACAAATTAGTGTTTTATTCCTAAAGAAGGTTTATCTTGGTTGGCGTTCTTCCAACGGACTGTACCTGGTTATCTTCCTGAAGCTGGCAATTATCTGTCCTGGTCTGTCGTAAAACTTTATTCAATGCGGTTGGTTTTTGCTTTGTTATTGGCTCTTTGAACTGTGTTTCTTTCCTTTGAAATGTTATTTTGAAAATAGTTTACTCTTCCACTGTGAACAATTAAACAGTGAAGCCAAGTTGAAGGCATTAAAGGACTTTTAGTTACGTTTTGGGTTTTGTTATATTTCTGAGCTACTCTGGGCCACCACACTCTATTCAGCATTAGTCATTTAGCATGGATTCTCCTGTGCCTGACCCTATCTTTTTTTTATCCCCTTGCAGAGCAGAGAGATTGCTTAAACAAGCAATCCCTTTAAACCAGTGATCCCCAACCTTTCCAGTTCCGTGAACTAGTGGAGGTGGTGGGAGAGGGAATAGGGGAAGGTTCTGTGCATGCAAAGCTCCATTTGTGCAAATGGAGGCTTCGTGCACATGCCACTTGCACAAGTGAAGTTTTTCATGAGCACTTGCGCATGCCCGACTCTTACATGACCCAGGGGTTTGAGACCCCTGCTTTCAACAATCTCTCCTGTGTTGTTTTTTTTTCCACCCCAATTACCATAGCAGGATTACAAGAGAGTAAGTATGCAGGAACACTATGAAGGATATACATGGAAAGGTATGAGCTAGGGCTGGCTGTTTGCTACCAATAAGGAGCACACTAGGCAAACAACCAGCACCAGTTCATTCTGATCCATGTGTAGGACTGTGGCCCTCTTATTCTCTTGTGATCTCTTCCTTCCTAATAAACGTTAATACAGACATTAATTCCACTCATTTCTAATTATGGATGAGCATTCCAATTCCCTGCACTGGACAAGAAGCAAGTCAGAACTCCATTTACACTTTTTAACTGAAATCTCTTTAACCATAACAGCTCAAAATTTTGCATTGCCTTGCCTATTGCAATACTCTTTGCACACAAATATTTTATTTAACCAAGCTCTCAGTACCACAGGGTTGGACTCATCTGATTTAGAGTTTACATTATTTAATATGCAATCTGTAAAAAAGAAATTGTTACTGTAGGTAACTCACATTAAATACACATCTTAACCAAGCAATTAAAATATTGGTATATAAAAAAATTAAATAGGTTTAAAAATGGTTCAGGGTGCATATTTTCTTTGTAAGTTCTGGTAAACTAAGGGCACAAAATGCAATAGAAAATAACACACAAAGCATTAAGTTTAAAGCAACCCCAAACTAATTACAGTAATGGTGCAACAGGTTGAAAAAATTTTTTCTTGTTTAATTAAATAAATTTCCCATCAACTTGATTGTTCTTATTCTTTTATTTAGGCACAACACAAGTACAAAAGTATTCAAGTTCAACTGGGTGAAACTCTGTTGAGCATCTTTAAAGAATATAAAACCAGTCCAAAATATATACAACAGTCCTTTCCAAACTGAGGAAATCATTTTTAATACCCTCAGTTTTATTTTGTTTAACTCCTCTTTCCAAAGTTTAGTGAATACATTTTGTATAGAAACAGGAGTCTGCAGTATTGAGTAATTATTTTTGTTGTTGGTAATAATATTCATCTGCTCTGTGGATCCCACGTAAAATGCTTAAATTCTTATTATGCAAAAGCTTTGGTTATGTGAAAAGGATCCATTATACAAATAATCTCTTTTAAATTATTCACAGTATTCATTTTGCTTGTACTTTTAAATGGATATGTTACATTTTCCTGTATAGTTTTGTTATGGACTGAAAAATTCAAATTCAAGATGTTATAGAGCATTAAATGTATAAATAACCACAAACTATAAACATGAGAAGTCCTGAAATAAAGCTTCAGCTCTGAATTGCTGAGAGATTAAAGAAAACCTTCAACTTTCTCAAAACTTGCCAATTATACCTTATGCCCTATCCTATTTTTTTCAGGAATGACTAAATTTCCAAAGGATGCTCTCAAACTTTTTCGTTCTGTAATTTACAACTGAGGTAACCAACTTTCTCTGATCACCAGCAGAACTAACCTGTCAATGGAAATCTTTATTTTTTTCCTTGTATCTTTTCCAAGGGAGATAAATTGCATGTTGAAGAGAACCCAACATGACAGTACCCTTGCATAGTTCCCATTGTTATATCCAAGACTACTTATGACAAAGTGTAACACAGAGATTATGTTTTATTTTTACACTAGTGAGACAGAAGCCAAGTAACTGATCTCTCATCTGTTCGTCAAACCATCTTGGTTTTTGGAGTCAATAAGTAGGACTTCAAGGTATGAGACGAACAAAAGGAATTTGGGAAGAACAGGAAAAGGTTACTGGAATGACTCATGTCCTGCTCTATAAGCATGTTAAAAATAATCACATGGAGTGAGCTGCTATCTAAATTGTTCACTTAACTGGTCACCAATCCCTTAACCATTAGATTTCTGGGCTGAATCTAGCAATGTAAATTGCAGTATCTCATTAAGATATTTTCATAAATAAATGGGAAATAGGACTTAGGTAATGCAGCACCATCATGTCTCATTCTCAAAAACCCAGACTGAAAAAAAACTTTAATGTTACAAACATTCTGTTTATAAAAACTAGGAAAGCAACTGTAATGGTTTCAAATTAAATTAGTGATCTTAATTCCAACTGAGATCGCCGAATAAAAGGCACACTAAATCCAATGGAAAATGAATTATTTGAAGTTAGGCAGCAAATCTGATTCATTTAATGGCCTTAACTGCAGAAGCAGAAAATGGGCAGAGGATAAAAATTTCAACCCTTTTGCGACTCTTGCAAGAATTAGTTTGCGTGAAAAGTGGAATAATTCAGCACAAAAAAGCTCAAAGTATGGGTTATACTGGGAAATAAAACAAGCCAACAATGCATGTATTTTGGAATCAGTACAGTGGTTTCATCTGATTTGTCAATGGTTTTGTTCAGAAATATAGAAGTCAGAACATCGCTAACAAAGTATTTTGTTTTAAAAACATTTCAGATCTACAATCAAACAATGCAGAACAACCTGTATGTTAAAGTCCTGGGCACAGAAAAATAATGTCCTGGACACAGAAAAATAATATATAATATAGACAGAAATTCTAGGGTTTTTTTAAACCAGTGTTTTCAGACAAATGGGATCATTTGAAAACATGACTAATACAGTAGTCAGCATAATTCATTAAAATTAACATCTATATGATTCAAAGATTTAGATAAGCCTCTGCCTTCAGTCTGCCATAATAAATGATGAGGAAGGGAAGAAAGAAGAGAAATTTTTTTTGGATACATTCTGATAAAACTGAAACTGTACCTTTTACACCAAACTGTTAAAAGTGTTCAAACTGAAGTTGGAAGCTCCACAGTTCAGATGGATATATATACAGTCCCATACACACACACACACATACACACACACAACTCTGGTTCTTAAAAAGCTCCAATCTCAGTCCCCCATGGTCTGTAGGGTTTGCCTAGACCGGCTGACTGTGCTGAGGCAGGTGGGCTGAGAGCATTAGGAGACAATAGGTGGAACGAACCAAAGGAAAAGGGGAATGCAGACAAGGAGGCCATAGAAGAAAGCAAGGGAGGGGAGAGCTTAGAAGCAGAAGTGACCACAGGGAGCACTGGTCCAATGGCGCCATTAGGGGGCAGTCTCAAGGAAGAGGACTCAACATGGGGAGGAGGCACATTTCTGCTCTGGTGATGGCCTTCTGAGGAAGCCGCTGCACCATTTGAAGTGGTACGCCCATTCTGAGGCAGCAATAAAGGATGGGAGATGTGAGGGTGATGTCCAAAAGCACCGCCCCAAGGAATCTGTCCGAGCCCACTGTGTGAGTTGCTTGCCGCTTCCCGCTGAGAGGCGTAATTATTCAGGTGAGACACAAGGCGGACACGAAGAGGATCAGAGCTATCCAGCCCCTCTATAATGCTAAGGTAGCGGGCTACTTCAGCCAAGCACTCGCGAAAACCTAGGCTCCGGTAGTCCATCGCAAGAGCATGAGCATCAAAATAGCCTAGAAGAAAGGATTAAAGAGGGGGTGTCATTAGAAGGGGGTGTCATTAGAAGGGGGTTCCCGTCCATTGGCTGGGTTTGCAGCTAACATTGCCCTGTGCTTTCATTTTTACTACAGATTGATTTATAAACTGCAATAGCTGGCTTTCCATATTGTATTATGCCCAAACCTTAATACATCACATTCATCTTAAGGCAACGTATGCACAGAGTCATTTCTCTCTTGAATATTTACTTCATTGAAGTAACAATCACTTCCCCTAAATAAAATACCATTAAAAATCAGAATAAAACCGCAAGTACTATTGTCTACCCAAATAGATGAGTCCTGAAACTACATCCAGATGTGCGGCATAATAAATATGTTTTAGCAATGATAGCAATTACATGCGGCACATGTGCCTAGAATATAACAACTATAGGTCAAGAAAGAAAAGAAAAATATGCCCCACTTCAAACTATAGAACGTGTGTCTTCTGAACTATGAATCTCATCTGTCTCTTCTCTGTGTTTCCCACTCTTAACCCCAAACCCAACTTAAATGTCCACAGACACAAAACTCATTCGTGGAAGAGAACTTAACTTATTATGGAGGTGAGTGGAAGGTGATAGTATTTGATTACTTTACAGGAGTACTGTGAATATTACTGTGATTAAAAAATGGCACATGGCCCTTTTTTAATGATTCTGTAATTTAGTGCATTTTTAATAAGCTACATAATAAAACTAAAAAGAGAAATAGTCAGGGCTTAAAATTTTCTAGTTAGGTGATGAATGAGATTCAAGGTAGGAATTTAATCTCTGTCTTAATGCAGTCCCAAACTTCTGTTAAGACAAAAAGGCCATTGATCCTAATAAATCTTTCGTCCAAGTAAGTGATCCTTGAATGACATGCATTTTTACTATCAATGTTTACTCAGAAATGAGTAAACCCAACATGAGTTTCCCCAGCACACTGTTTTATTAATCATTGTTTTCTGAATTATCCCTTGGATTAGCCCTATCCCTTTGGCTCACACAACACACAGGGCCATAATCTCTAAGAAGTCACAATGTACAGTCAATTCCAGCCTAACTCTCATAAAAGGGCCTCAAGTAACTGCAATTTTAACTTCAGAAAATCACAACTGATTACAGTACTATCACAATATAATTAACAAGCATTTATTGTCAGCAAAAAAATGCAATCAACACTTGTAATCCACTATCTAGAGCCTCAAATAAATTAGATTACAATTCCCATACTCTAACCAGTATGGAAATTTTAGCCCTACATTTCTGGATGTTGCCAAATGAGGGACTCTCATCAGAACACTCTGAAGCAACAATTCTGTTTTTTAATAAGAGTATTCTCCAGTTAATAGGATGCAAATTATAGCTTATAAATTGCACTACTGTGTACCAGCTTATTACAAGGATGCATCAGTAAACAGTACATTATTGTTAAGAAATTACACCACTTTCTTGTATCCATGTAACTACAAATCTATTATATCTGTATCCTGCGAGGGGAGGAGGTTTTGACCTGTTAAGAAACTCACAGGATAAAATTATAGCAGTTATCAGCACAGCAATAACGTAAAAAATAGGCATCGAGTACAAACCACAAAAATGACAAAATGTGTATTTAAGACATCACTCTCTAAACCTTATTCTTTCACATTTGCATATAAACAGTAGATCCAAGTATATAAGTCATAGGACTTGCATCAGTACATGACTACACTTGTTTTGTCACTTGCCCCTACCTAAAAATATAATAAGAAACTGTACAATTTACATAAAGTGCCTTTGGTACAGATAGGTTATTAGATTGTAGGAAAGGAGAAATTATACACACGCACACTTGAAAGTATCTCTCGTTATATAGAATGGGACTTACAGCCACTGAATAGCATGAATCTTTCACTTGTTAAGTGCAAACACTGCATATGTTTCAGTTGAGAGGCTAGTCACATTAGCCCTATTGTACTGTGCAATGCAGTAACCACACTATAAAATGCTCCTATATAGTTTCTTCTTTTCAAGTTTCTAACCATTAATGTTCTTTTCAAAGAAGATTCCATTCCATTTTCATTTTCCACTACTGAATTTTTGCATTCTCCCCACCCACCAAGGCAGCACTCTATCCTGACCAGCCTCTCTTGGGAGTTCTCCCACCAACCTCTTTCCATACAAAGGGTATTGTACTTCTGCAAATCTTTTGAGCTCCCACAATCACAATAGTGTTGCTTAAACAATATCAGGAATACCCCTGGGAGAACACAGCTACTTTCTCAGTCTCAGCTTCCAGCTAATCCTGTTGATCTGCAGTTCCTATAATTAACCGCCAAGACAGCCTTTCAATGCTACACACACACACACACACACACACACACACACGCACAAATCTTACCTTTCCCTCCTGCTGTGTGCAACATTTTCAGATGATCTACTGTCATCTGCAAGATTTCAGCTTTCTCCAATTTGGCTGAGCCCTAAGAAAGCAAAGACAAATGTCAGTGCAAAGGCAGTTGGGCTCCAGCCAAGCACAAAGAGAGCCAAAGAACAAGACTAAATTGCAGCACTGAACTGCCTCAAATTTACCTGCTTTTCGAAAGCACTAGGCACCAGCCTCCTCAACTCAGATAGGCTATTGTTGATCCGATCTCGGCGACGCTTCTCAATAATCTGAAACGAAGGGATATTTGGTTTTTTCTCCCCAGAGGCAACACTGGGCAACGTGGGGATTGGGAGGGGGGAATTTTCACATATCAGAGCAATTCAAGGGGGGAAAAAAACTTACGCCTCTACGTCTTTTTCTTGCCAAGATCTGGGAAGTGGTGTTTGGCGACATTGAACCTGGAGCAGAGCTTAAATTTCTAAAAACAGCAAGAAGGAAGAAGTCATTACAGATCCAAAACAGAAAATGGGACACAATAACCACCCCTACAAATTACTATACTAGACGCACGTGTCGGTGTGCAAATGGGTGCAGAATAAGATGGTATGATAACTCTGATGCCCAACACCATCCACTTCTTCTGGCTTTGAGAGCCAAGACCTGCTACAGCCAGTCCCGTGCCAACCAATATGTATTAGTCAGCGGTTAAAGTCTTGAGAAAAGGGTTAAAACCCAGAAAGGCTGCCTCAAGCATGTGCAGAGTGCTCTTTCTTGGTCATAACTTCTAAGCGAAACTGGGTGCCCAGGCAGCTCTGACTGCCCTTCCCCGTTTCTCGCTTTAGATACTAAGTTCATTCAGAAATAAATCTCACTCACTCCAGTACAGCGCTAGCCGGCTTTCTAAGTGAGTAGAGGTATCCGATTCGAAACCCATTGGTTCGGAGGCGAGTTTCGCTGGGTTCGGCGAGCTTTAGGCAAGTGAGCATAACTTTAGCTTTAGGATCAGAGCGGGGAAGGTTCTTTCTACATGGGTATACGGCGTTGCCCTACCCGGAGCCGAGATGTCACGCAGCATCCACGCCACAGCCTTCAACCCTGAAGCTCATGCCGCGGCGACAAGTCGAGGGGCCAGGGAGCCCCCCTGCCTGCCCGCCTGCCTGCCTGCCTACGCTTTGCGACCGATTTATCCGGCGCCCTCACCCGTTCTCGTCCGCGCTCTCCTTCTCCACTTCGATGGGTTCGTCCAGCTCGCTGTCGGAGGAGCTGTAGTCCGGGTGCGCCCGCTTCATGCTTGCCGGACCCTCCAGACAACCACTCCAAACAGAACGGTTTTGGGACGGGGGAAGAGTTCCGCTTCCCGTCCGTGTGAATGAGCGAGTGGGTGGCGGCGGTTCCCCGGTGCCAGCTCAGTGCGCTCCTTGCAGCCGCCACCGCGCTCCCTCCGGCTTCGTCTCCCCCATCCCGTTCCCACGCTTCGCCTCTTACCCGAGGGAGGGGTGGGCAGTCAGAGAGGCGCGCCAGGCGCTCCCGGCCGCGTTCGACTCCTGTGTAGCCATTCGCTCTCCCGCCTCCTCTGATTGGTGAAACCTCGCCGGGGCCGGCCAATCCCCGTCCACCCGAAAGTCACTCAATGACACGCCTGTCTTACTCCCGGTTCCCATTGGCCGACAGGGTTCGGATTGGCTCCGCGGCCGAGTTCGGAGCCCGCCGTCCTCCCCACCCGCCCCCACCCCCGCCGCCCTCTTGTGTACCCGCCGCCTCTCCTTCCTGCAATTGGCTGGGCCGGAGGCCAGTTGGGCGCTAACGGAGCCACACGCGTGGCTGGGCGGCCGTGGGAAAGTTGCTCTGTACCCGGCTGGCGGCCAAGCGGGGCTGGCGGCGGCGGCGGCGCTGAGCGGGGCGTGCATGAGCGGCGGCTGCCGCGTGTGAACCTCCCCTGGGCGCGGGGTGGAGCGGCGATGGCACTCGGGCCGCCGGCTCTACCACCGGCTTTCACAAAGCGCCGCGGCTCTCCGCCGAACCGGGGGCGGGCCGAGGCAGGCTTTGGCAGCTCCGAATCCTCTGGCCTGCGGGCCTGCCGTTTGCGAGGAATCACTTCAGGCTGTACTCCTTCCTAAGTAATTCGCTTCACCTCAGCAGACATTAATAAATGCAATCGGTAGGGCTTTTCGTTGGAATCTGTTCGCCCATAAGACCGCCGCTCGCCAAGGGTGCAAGAAATAAACGAGCTGTACTAAAAGCCTTTCACAATGCAGACCCTCCACTTCTATTTTTGTAAATTAAGAGCGGCCTGGATATAGGCTGTTGAGGTTAACATAAAATAGGCTCCGCTGAGCGAACTACAGGTAGTCCTACTCCACATAGGACCGCAATTGAGCCCACAATTTATGCCACTACCTGAGAAATGTGTTAAGTGTTGCCCCATTGTACAACTGCGTTTGTTAAGTGAGTCACTGCAGTTGTTAAATTAGTAAGATGGTTGTTAAGTGAATCTGGTTTCTCCATTGACTTTGCTGGTCAGAATGTCGCATGGGGTGATCGTATGATCCGGAAACCTGCAACCATCATAAATGAGAGTCACTTGTCAAGCATCCTAATGTAAATCACGTGACCTTGGGGATGCTGCAATAGGCGTAAGTGTGAAAAAGAGTTATAAATCACTTTTACAGTGCCATTGTAACTTCAGTCACTAAGTGAACTGTTGTAAGTTGAGTACTACCTGTAATAAGTTGGCCTCAAGCCATCAGAAATCCATCAGAATCCTCACAGATCTGAATCATGATTTAAAAACAAACATTAAAAACATAGATTGGATTCTAAAGATGATCACAAGCATTGATCACAAGCAACAAATTGGAAATGCAGTATTTACTGCTTTCTTGTAGACTGATCCATTTATACAACCACACAGTTATAGTTCTGTGTCATGTAATGTCCAGCTTTCACTGCCACTTGTTAGCACCCAAAAGCTGACTTAAGTAGAAATCCATATGTACATATGCTGCTAAGAATATTTGTGTTAAATGGAAATTACATACAATAATTTTACAAAAGAACACATCTGCTTCTATGCTGTCTGCTCTGATTGACCTAAGAGACCTCAGATTCTTTTAGCTTCTCACAGAAACTTCAAAAGGAAGTTGTGGAGACAATATCTAGGCATGTTAGCATAAGTACTTGCAGATGAATTAAGTACTGAAGGGAATTGTTCCCTGGAACTGAAAGGCTATTTTACTAGATCCTAGCCTGATACCTAATTTTGGCTACTGTAATTGTGTTCTATAGGACAACAGACCAAAATGAAATTATTTTCAAGCAAGCCTGATACCCAGCATTTTCTCTTATTCCCAAACTGTGTAACCAATGGCTCTGCTATTGAAGAGGAGGGAGAGCTGTAGCTCAACATATCTGAAGAGAACTAAGTTGGGAATGGCTGCTTTATTGTTTAAAAGTCCTTTAAAACTGTCCTTCTGATCTTGAGTTTGGGGCCTAAGCAAGATCAGATGTTTAGATCTGGCAGATTTCTTTCCCATATGGTGGTCATATCCCCAAAGAATAGTTTCAGAAGCTAAAAACTGAATGCAGAAAACTTGAAGGACTGGCCAATTTCACAGACCCCTCTTGTTTCAATTCTCCTTATGCACCTTAGATACAGAAAGCACTACCTAAATCTTGAGGGGAAGTTTAATTGTTCAGGGTTCCCAGCTAATAAGGCAGCTGAACTGTTTTCCAGGAAAAACAGGGTCAGCCCTGAAAGTGACATTTTCTTAGCCAACATTGGAGGTCAATGTTTATTTTTGGATGCATTTCCTGTCCTTTTCTATTTCCTCCTCCAGGAGACTGTTTCATGACTCAGTCAAAATAACACTAAAAAGAGAGGGATGTTTTAAGGCATCCTGAAAAGGAAACCCACTACTATTAACCTTTGCTCTTGCAAGTACGCTAAATTAACTTTGAAAGCATATTTCTCTTGCATGGTTTTTCCACTCAAAAGAAGAAGAGCACTGAAGATTTTCTGTCAACCTGTTATTCTCCTTTGGATCGCTGACATTCCCACATCACGGACTGATACCCACATTTCTGCTGGAGGCAATAAGAGGCAGGCAATTCTTCATTGCCCAACGGCCAAATCAACGGAGGGAAGGGAGTTATCCAAGTGCCACATACAAGCAGTGGGTTTATGATGTCAAAGTAGGTGAAGTTAGAAACAATATGTTAAAAAAACCCAAATACCTTTTTCTTAAAGCAGACAAAAATATTGACTGCTTATAATAAGCCAAAATAAAGTAGGGCCATGCAGAAAAAAAAAATCCATCTTTTTCTATAAGCTGTTCAATATGAATTATGGGGATAATGTCCTATGTATTCTCCCTGGTCAATAGTGGGTGCACTGCATTTTGGATTAACTATAGTTGCTGAGTGAGGTTCAAAGGTATTGCCATATATAAAGTGCATTGTGATAATCTAGACACATATAAGAAGGGCACAAGTCATCACTGACAAGGCCTTCAATTCCAAGTAAGCTTCTAACTATTCCACCCGCTGAAGCTACGCATCACCTTTTCTGGTCATGACCTCCACCTGCCCATCTACCAATAGCTGAATCCAAGTGGAACTGCACAGTCAAGGACCTGCTCCTTCATGCGTACAGCTACACCACCTAGAATTAAAACTAGAGGTAACAGATCCATACTGGACAAAGGAATTCCACTTTGTCTTATTGACTCTGTTGTGTCACATGGCATATTGCGTCTTTTTTCCCCTTCGCTAAACCGGGCATGGGTGTGACCAGCACATGACGCATTCAGCTGTGAATTTGACACCCCTGCTCTATTGTATGAGGCAGTAAGGCTAGAGCAATAATCCAATCAAAACTTTCAATATTATTCCCAAATTATTGACTTGCAGGTTATAGCCTATTGTTGGATGGATTTATTTTAGAAGTGGTGTAATTGTTGTTCATGCTGTGTTCCCACGCTACTATTGTTTGGGCTTTTGTTTCCTATTCCCATCACATGTGCTAATTAGCTGGAGCCACTGCCTTTCTGAGGAGATCTGTGGTTACAGCAACAGCTGAAGGATCATTTCCTAGAGGGCTGTAAGAAAACTGATCCAGCCCCTTGTTTCCCTTGCAAGCAAAGATCCAGAACAGAAAAATAGCCTTTGTGGTTAACCTAGTTAAACGTGCAGGTAAATTTTCCGATTTGTTTGGCTATAATGCTTAGAGTAAAAGCTCCATATTCTGTTTTTTTTTTTTTTTAATAAAAGAACTGGCTATACTTCTGAAGCTAAAATTAACATAGGAAGAAGAAAGGCAAAAGAGATATTAGTTGGAATGCTCTTACTAAATACTATCCATGCTTTGGATATGCAACCTTTAGATACGCAACTATGTGGCCTTTAATGATAGATAGATTGGGGGCCTCCAATCTTTGGGGATGTTGGTTGCTCATTTGGAGTTTTAAAACTTTATTATGGACATTTTTGCAAAATACTGCCATAGGAAAGGGAATTGCTGTTTATAAAATGGCTAATATGTCAGATGTGACAAAACACAAAACTCTTATCAGAAATTAGACTTCTGATTAGTCAGCTTTTTCCTCCTCCCTTTACTCTCTAGGATGCATCCCATGGAACTATACTAGCCCTCACTTAGCAACCACAATTGGAACCAGTAACTTAGTTGCTAAGAGAGATGTAACAAAGACTTCAGTTGTTATTTCTGCCTTCTCAATTAAATTTGCTCTTGGCGAGTCAGTTGCAAAGCCCACAAATGTAAATCCTGTGGTGCAGGACCCGAAGGTGGCACTTTAGGTTCTGCAGGGGTCTGTGCTTTCTCCACTCTGGTTTAATATCTACATGAAACTGCTGGATGAGATCATCAGTCGTCATGGGTGAGAGAGGATCAGTAACCATATTGTACATCTCTGTCTGCAGTGAGTTAAGCGGTGCCACAAAAACCCTTTCAAAGTTCCTGGAGGCTGCTGAGGTCTGCATAAGGAGCAATAAGTTAAAACTGAACCCTGGCAGAATGGCTTTGGGTTCAGTGCTCCTTGGTTCTCAGAATTGCGATTGTTAGTTGTACATAGGGTTGGATTGCCCCAGATAGACCTTGTGTATAATCTGGAGGTTCTTTAGGACTACAAAAGTGGGCCCATGCACAGCTACAAGTTATGTACCAATTACACCCATTCCTGGACCAACACACGGCCCACACAGTCACCCATCCCCTAGTCACTTCCTGTTTGGACTACTGTAATGCACTCTATATGGAGCTGCCCTTAAAAAGCAAGGGAAAGCTTTTGTTGGTTCAAAATGCAATGGTCCACAAAGTTCTGTGCAAGTCAAGATTTGTGCACCTCTTGCAGGAGCTGTATTAGTTATTGATTTCCTTCCATGTGTATTTTAAGGTGCTGGTTATCACCTTTAAAGCCCGATATAGCTTGTGGACAGGTTATTTGAAGGACTATCTCTCCACAGTTACATCTAGCCAGTCCATCAGAGCAGGAA